AGAAATCCTTTCAAATACCTCAGGGAAAAACACTGTCATCAGAGAGCCTCAAGAAAAAAAAGGGCAAAGCCCTCTGTCACCATCCAGTAAACCTGCCTTAGCTGACAGTGAGGGAGTAAAGAAGTTGTCTGCAAAAATGGAACTGTAATCTGTAGATGGGAGTTTGTGCAACAGACTGCATCCAGCCTCATGCAGCTAAAGAAAATCCACTCTTCTCTTGCACCAGTGTCTTTCAGTGCCTTTTTTTTCTGAAGTAAATGTAGAACTTCACTAAAAAAAACAAATCAATAAAATTAATCACATTACTGAACTAAACAGCTTCACGTAGGAAGATGAAAACATTGTGTTGTGACATTTCCTCTAGGAAGCTTTTCCATGGCATGTTGCCTTCATTGTTTCTCCCTCCTAAACCCCCATTAGTGACGTGGGCCTGAAGCCCCCAGTGTGTTATGCTGGCAGAGTGAGTGGTTTCATGATCCAGCTTCCCAGTCTCTTTCATTTTACTCCTGAGACTGGTTCCTTGTAAGAGCCAAATACAGAAATGGATCATTGTGTTTAAAATAATATCTGAAGGCTTGAAAATAGCATCCATTTTTTAGGTAGGCTGCATTTCTCTTTCACACTGCGAAATGGTGCAGCAGATAATTAGTAATACTTTTTCCATTCACATTTCCCTGTATTTATAAAGCAGTAGACTGCTCTTGCTAGGTTCTAACAGCAAAATGAAGTTCCAGAGCCAAGTGAATGTCAGCAAGAATTTATGAATATGTCAGTAGAGATTACTGCTGGCTCTTGATTTTGAATGCAAGCAGACAACAAATTAGTTTGGTAGTAAAATGGGTAAGTAAGTGGGAGCTTGACTGTAGCAATACAAAAGTGGAGCATAATTGTTTGTTTCAGGCATGTGTTATTTATAGAGGATCAGACTTGCACCCAGGAAAGTGTCTCTATGCAGGAACTTTCCAAAGGAAAAGGAGCCAGGACAGCAGAGGTGGAGACCTGAAATGAAAGACTTAAGACAAAAAGCCAGACAAGAAATGTGTCCCAGTTACTGATTCCACCTGGGGCAAGCTAAAAACAAACAAGAAAAATCCAAGGAGAACATAGGGAAAGAAGGAGAATTAAGACAGGTGTACAATATGTATTTCAGGGGAAAAAGAGTCTTTTAGTTGATTTTAAATTGACTGGTTTTACACCCTGACATCAAAAGCTGTGGAAAAGCAGAGTAATCAGAAGCTGGCTGCAAATATGCAAATACAATGCCAGCATGTTATATGAGTTGTTCTGTTTGGAATACACCTTGCTTTTCATTGTTTTAGCATTGCAGGTACTGTTTGAGTAACAATTGTGTAGTGCCTGCTATTTTTAATTTCAATACAAAAATCCTTTTTTTCTGGTCAGAGTGGTTACAGTAATAACATGCTTAATTTGGAGCTTTTGTAACCTATATTTGTCAAAGAGAAGTGTATTGCAAATTAGTCAGGAGCACTGACAGAGACTTCACTAAACTTCTCGAAGTCATTTGTGGGTATGTTGTGATTCCTGAAAGCTGGTTTCTTACTTGCAGTAGTAGTGCTTCACTATCTGCTATTATTAGTACTTTACTATGTAGAAGGAAGAAACTGAGATTATTATTTTCTCTTTTTTCTATGCAAGCTTTTATTTTACTTTGAAGGAAAATTGCTGTCAGCTCACTAAAGACAGAATAACTGCAATAAAATCATGCCATGCTCCCGGTGCACACACAGGTGCTGTGTTCAGTAGTGGAAAATAGTTTATGACTGTTACTGTAGAGGATTCACTTTTGCTTTTAATGAAATAAAAACTTTGCAAACATTTAACTAAATATGGATTTTCTTGAGAGAAACTGTATCAGTTCAGTGTATCACTGCTGCCAGGACCATGGTTCACTATGTGTAATAGTTGTGGTTGCACTGCAGAGCTTTGATAGAAATGGTGTCCATCTGGGGGCTCTCAAGGCTAAAACCTGTAGTTTGGACTCGTTCAGACACAGACCCTCTCAGGGCTGAGCCGTACTGAAAGCAAGCACAGCACAGTGGAGTTCTGTCCTTTATTCCAGTGGAAACCCTTCATATCAGTAAACACCTCTTTGCACTCTTTCCAATCCAAGAGCCCTCTGATGATGATACTGCACAAGGGTAATTTCAATTCACTCATCCACATAAACAAAATAAAATCCATTTACTTGGCTTTGAGCTGACAATGTAAACAATATAGCAACCAGTACGGGATAATTGGTGAAAAGGGATTTAGGGATTCATCTTACACAATGCTGTAAGAAGAGGGCAAACCTTGTCATTCTTTTCTGCTGGATGTTTATTTTGAATCAAACTTCAACCACTTCAGGGAACCTCCAGTACATTCCAGAACTTCTACATGCCTCCTTTTACAACCAGTTAAGCCTGGGTCTGGTTTTAACCAAGTACAGAGGGATGTCTTCATCCCTGTCTTCATTAGGGATATGCAAACACTGAGGCACAAACTCACAGAAGCTCCTCCCTTTGTGAAAGGCACAGAAAAAATGAAAAGTTTCCATATAGTCTGTGCAGAACAACTTAACCATACTTGCTCAGCAAAGAAGGTGTTTAATCCTCTCTGTCCCCTATAGGAGAAGAGGGAATGGTTTTAAGAGGCACCTTGGGAAACAAGTAGTTGCAGTCTTGGTTGAACAAGTGGACTGTTAGCAGCCATAAACATAAAATTACTCATTTCTAAAATAGCTCATGGTCTCTTAACTCAGACATCGTGTGCTGAATGGCACTGCACTAGGGCAGAGTTGGACTGGCTGGGTAGGTAAGTTGCAAATAGCACTAAAAGGCACAGATGTTGTATCAGCTTTTCAAATTCTTTTCAATGTTTTTATATATTTTAATAGCTCCATCTGGATTCCATAGCCACTATTATTGTTACAAGTTTTATTGTTCCCTCTGTCTCTGCCTGCTGTTTGCATTTGCAAGTTACTTACAAGTGTCTTGGAAACAACTCCTGAGCCTTTCTCCGGGGGCTTAAATTTGATATTGTGAAAAAAGCAGGGAGAGCACATTTTCTCAAATTTGCCTTGCTAAATACGATATGTTACAAATTAAAATAAATGTTGCATGCCCTGCTTTCCACATGATGTTCTGGTTATAAATTTCAGTGGATGGGCAAGTGTGTTTGCTGATTTCTCCAATTCTGTTACTTATCCTGTGCTGTAACCTCCTAAAAGCTTGATTTGGGTAATAACAGACATAAAAATTATACAGCTTCTGCTTCTCCAGCATCATGGTTGGGTAAAGGAATAACATCCACAGTGCAGAGCCAGTCTGACAGGATAGTTGAGTGTTGTTTATGCTCTAAGGTAGCTTCATAAAAAATATTGTGATTTTGTATACTACACTTGAGGTCAGCCTGCTATCCAGTAGGACTCATAAGATTATGTTTTCTGAGGTGAATTTACAATAATGCCCTAAATTAGAAAGCCGTTACATTTGCAGTGCAATTTTTCTTTTGTTCTAATAGAATTTTTCTTGAGTCTTGTATTTAATAATTGAGGGAACACCTCTAAAATTCAAGGAGTAATTCTGAGTTCACTGCAGTCAGCTTCCCAAGTAAGGCTGACAGATGGGAAGGACATTTTGTGCTGTGCCCAGTATCCATTCAATTTAATTGGAAGTTGAATGCTGTATAATCTTTAAAAATCACATACCTCCTTCTGTATTAGACATTCAGGGAACATTTTGGGGGCCTGGACCCCAATTCAGGCTTTTAAATGTACTGCGGGAGCCATCAGGTCCCAGCTCAGCATTTTCTTTCAAACATATATGCCATTATTCTTAAAATATTCAATAGAACTATGTCACAGGTGCTAAATCTTATTAACACAGAACTCATTTTTGTCTCAACTGACCCTGTTATGCTGGCAAAGAGCAGTGTGATGAGGATATGGGACAGCCTTTATGGGCACATTTTCAGTTCCTGAAGTTTCCCATGGTGAAAGTGAGGAAACTCTTGACATCTTTGAATTTTTAGTGATTTATAGAACCATAGATTGGAAGAGAACTTAAAGCTCACCTCATTCCAACCCAATGCCATGGCAGGGACGCCTTGCACTGTCCCAGGCTGCTCCCAGCCCCAGTGTCCAACCTGGCCTTGGGCACTGCCAGGGATCCAGGGGCAGCCACAGCTGCTCTGGGCACCCTGTGCCAGTGACTCAACAGTGGTCTGTGTGCTGCACATTAAACATTCAGTGCAACACACTCACACACAAATTCAATTTGTCAACAACGATCTCTCCTGAGTTGGGAAGCTTCATACATCAAAATAAGCTTCTCTCCAGTGCACTTGTAAGAAGAGGTTCTTGTGCCTTTCTCACATGCACTAATTGCAGCCAGCTGTTAAACAGATGGTTTTGGTGATATGGTAGGACACCAGTTATTTAACATTTTTATTTAAAAAATAAGGGGAAAAGTGACAAAAAAAAAAGGAAATAAATGTTTGCCTAGGCAGCAAGACCCACAGTACTGCATTATTCCCAGCCATAGCTTGGGCATGGCATTTCCTTTGTGGTAACCCATAAGAAATTGAAAAATATCATAGGTCAATTATAAAAATGTTTCATACTTTTAGTGAAAATAGGATGTCTTGATAAATATTCTGCAAAGATGGAATGCAATGAACCTTTTAGAATTACCTCCCTGAGCCTGTGTTTCTCCCTGCACCTCAGCTATCCATCACTTCGGTTTTGCATTAACCTTATGGATGTGTTTTGCTATTCAGAGACTGTCCTGAGGACTCACATCCCGTTTTGGCAAGAACAATGCAAAAGCCAGACCTTACAAATTCACTAAAAAATGTTTAACTCTTGGTCTTTTCTCAAGCAGCTCTTTTAGTGACCTTGCACAGAGCACACCTTAAATGGTTCGCTGGCTTTGGAAGGGAAGGACTCAGGGTTCTCCTAGGGTGAGACTGAAAATTATCAACAGTGATCTTTCTTTCAGGTGAAGGAGGCCATGCAGAGAATCCATGACCGAGGAAATATAGGAAAACTCATTCTGGATGTGGAGAAAGCACCCACTCCCCTGGTGAGTGCAAAGCACAGACATGATGTACAGCCAGGCATGGTACAGCCTGGCAGTGACTTCTGGGCACATGTTCTTTTTTGACACTGATTTCTTCTAAATCTGTAGCACCCAAATACCACCAGTAACCATAATTTCTGTATTTAACCCAAGTGAAATGCACTTCCTGAAGTGCCAGGAGTCGCTTCTCTTTACTGAATCACTATCTGCTTCTCCAAAAATGTGCCAGCAATTATTGGACTGGGGTAAAACTGCCAAGTGTCTTTCTGCCCCTGTGATGGAAAACAAACAGACTTTTCTCAAACTAAAAAATTCCTATATTAATAAGTGAATTGAACGGGAAAAAAAAGTCAATATTGCTGCAGTGGGCAAACATAAAAGTGCTTTCTGAATCCCACACTAAAGTTAGAGTATACTTTTGGTAGGAATTTAGTTTACTGGTTTGTGTAATATATGAAGTATAACACGTAAATATTTCCAGAACTATCTTGAAGGAAGATAGTATTGATGGAGCTCTGGTCCCCTAGATTTGGAGCACTTAGGATGATCCAGAAAGAAACCTTTCAGAGAGCAGTGGTAAATGAAAGCCAGGCTCACTCCTGAGCATTCACTGATGGTGTAGGAAAGAGCAGTAAAGCAGGTAATGCAAACCTGACTTTAAATCAATACTGATGTGTGAAGTTTGCTTTCAGACCTGAGAAACCTCCTGTTTCAAAAGAAACGAAAAGAACTTGGACCTAGAGTTAAGCTCTTACTCACTCTAAAACTGCCCCTCAATCTCATACAAACTCTCTGCAAGGAAAAGGAAGGCTTTGAGGACCTCTCATGTGGAACAATACACTTTCATCAAAGGGTGTTAACTCAAAAGTATGGGTAACTTCAGAGCTATATTTTTTCTGCATTAAAATCAGGTTGTGTTTGAGATTTTTATTTCCACCAGAGGCTAATAATCAATCAGGGAAGGAACATCATTACATTTATCTTTAAAAAGTAAATGGGTCCCTTGCTTGTTTGGTTTTGAAGTAGTTGCGAGCTAATACAAGAATCTTCTTGTGTCCTAAGAGAGGTAACGTGGGTGTATAAGAGAATCCAGTCACACCAATGTGTGCTGTTAAACACTACCCCCATCCAGTGAACCAGACTCTTGTGCCTCCACAGACCTGTCACACTGACAGTGTTGGAGGGTTCTGCACCTTTGCAAAGCTTGTAATAAATATTTCCACAAAAAAACCACAGTGTACTCCTCAAATGCTGAACTACAGATTCCTGCAATTGCCTACTACCTGTGCAGGCATCTTCAGTAAAATATGAAAATGCAGTTTCTTCCCACTCCTGTATGATCTGGGATCTGCACTCTGTCGTGGGTGTATCCTGCCAGCATCTATATCTGTAAGGTTTCATTGGGGCACAGACAGAACGTTCCTTTTCCTGTGGCAGCCCTGTCCTCTTGAGTTTCCAAAGTCGCTTTACCCAGTGAATCAAACTGAAACGAGGAGCAAGCAAAGGGTGAGGAAGGTGCTGTGATGTCCTTGATCTTTCCTGGTGCAGATGGCCAATGACAGCACGGAGACGAGCGAGGCTGGGGAGGAGGAGGAGGACCACGAAGGGGACAACGAGAACAAGGAGCGCATGCCCTTCATCCAGTAGCAGCCAGAGCGCGGGAGGCAGCAGGAGCCGGGAAGGAGAAGGGAACAAGGCTGGGAAATCTCTTCTGTGCATCAGTGAACAAATGCTGTAGTACAGTGTGTGTTGTATTTGTTTGCAGTCAGCTGAGCTATGAGCTGTTGATCATTGTTGTTTTGAACTCAAGTGCCATTCTCATCCAGTGCAGTATTACCACATTTCTGTGTAATTCCAGTTTCCCTGTAGGAGTCCCATGGATTTTTCTGTTCTTGTTTGAAAGCCTTATTAACTTACTGTGTAATTTTAGATGGGCATCTTTCTCATGCAAATTCCAACATCTTGCATAAAGTTATTTGGGAGGTATAGGCTTTTTTTGTACGTTGGAAACAGTAAAAAAAAAAAAAAAAAAAAAAAAAAAAAAATCCCTACTTGCTGTCTGAAAGATTCTAGTAACTGGAGGGATAATTTTCTGTTTCTGGATTTTCAGTGTTAAAATAGTTTTCCTTTAATGAACCACAAATAAAAGTTGCACAAAGATTACTTTTTATTTTCTTCAGTCATACTTCATCATTTCACAAGCAATCCTATCTTCATTTTCAAAAGTACCTCATCCAGAATCATGGAATCTGAAATTGTGCAAGAAATCATTAATTGAGATGCTTTGATCAACATCTTCTGGTAAGGACATACTGACTCATATGTCAAATCCAAACCAATTTTAAATTTCATTTTTAAATTGCATTGGTAAGGATCACTTATCAGGATGTGGAAAGAAATTTGGTGATGGAGTTTGTTGCTCTGAAATCGCTAATGTGTGGTCAGCTGTCAGGCTGGAGCTGAACTCCTGCAGAAGTTAACCCTGTAAAAAATGAGGTTTAGGCCTTAGTCCCACCACAAATCATACAGGGACAGCTTCTATCTAGGTGTACAGGGACAACTTCTATCTAGGTGAATTGTTCTATCAAAAGATCTGCTCCTTATGTACAGTTACATTTATAATTATTTACAGGATCAAGTATTCAAAGACCAGCTAGTCTTATCTACCTCCCACTAGTGGAAACTATATCTAAACAGGAAAAAAGTGAATATTTTTTCCACGTCCTTCCCCTATCCAAACAGCAGCTACTCAGGTCCTCAACTGTCTTGTTAAAACAGTTATTTTAAAATTACTGTGATCACGTATAGTAGAAATGCTGAAGGACTGGCAGAGACCTTGCATAATGCCTACAACTTCAAATTAATATTTGTTTTTTCAAAAGAAGGTATTTACCCAGACATGATTAGTTGTTCACCCAAATCTACAAGTAGCATGTTATGATAGAAGTTAAAAATTAATACAGAAAAATAAAAAGTGGGGGCTTCTCAGGCTTTTCTCAGTGTGAGAGGACTTCTGGGTCTGGATGACTTTTATGTGTGGTTTTAGAAGAGTCTCATTAGGTTTTTTCTGTTTGTTTGGTTTTGCTGCCTGAGTATTAATGTCCATCTCTTTACACTGTACTCATGAAGTCGCTGTCAGATAATTGTGCAGATGGTTCATTCTGAAGGAGTTCCCCTTGGGTTAAACAAACTCAAAAATAACAGCAAGAAATAACTGTGGGGAAAAATGCCAAATAGGCTGTTGAACTATTGATCCAACCAGAACTTCATTTTTCTCTTCACTTCATTATAGTTGAGTTTATTTTCGAGCTGGACTTTCCTGTACTTCCAGTGCAATTTCGGGCCCAAACAGGGACTTTATCCACAGAAAAAAATATGTATTCAGTGAGAGTTTTCCATTTATTTGGCTTGCCAGTTGGACTTTTAAGAAGGGCCATTAGGTTTTCATGACTCATCAGCTGACAGCAGTAGGAAACATGCCCAATTTTGTTTTGCAGCTAGTGTAATGATGTTGTCCTGCAACAGACCTTAACATAACTAGGAATTTTGATTTGACGCCAAAGTGAGCAATATTGCTGGTGACCTTCGAGCTGGCAGTAAGTGGCATTCTCAAGGCCTTAAATTAGTAGGGCAAGCAGAATAGCAAACCCATTCTTCTGTTCTAAACCACAGTCTGGTGGGCTCTGCTTCTAAATTACCCTGCAAGACAAATATGGGTGATCTTGGTCATGGCCACAGACACCACAGGGACAACAACCACATAATTTTGGCTAGTTCTTTCTGGTTTTGTTAGCAAGGCAAAAAATACTATTCATGCTAATTCATACCAATTTTAGGGCCATTTTCTGATCAGCAGAACATCAGGTAATTGCAGTGAGTACAAAGGAGTGCTACTGGAAGTACCTGAGTGCGACGCAGCCGAGCGTGACCATCAGCAAGCTAAACTCTGCTCTGTGTTTTACTGCTATCAATAGAGCATGAGGGAGGCTGCTGCTGGTATAATGGAAGTTTTCCAGGCATCCATTCTGGGAGCAGGATGTGTGCTAGCAGAATCTGGCCCACAAGCCCTAAGTACCTTTCAGGAGACCACAAGCAGTAGTGTCACACTGGCAGGGGTGGAGGCTGTGCTGGTCAAACTGGTGAAGCCAAGGCTTGTCACTGACCAAGTCTTACTGTAGCAGGAATGAAGGGTTGTGATTACTACTGACAGTGTTGTTTAAACAACTCTGAGACAATTGGATAGTTTCTTCAAGTGAAACAAATTATTTCTCAATTTGCCTTAAAGGAACTGTGAAAGCTTCTTTAACTTAAGCCTGATTGAAGTGAACTGAAACACTGTTTAATTGTATTTGTTGCTTTAGAGCTTTTGTTATATTGTGCCTACAAAGCAAATTATGTTTACACAAAAATATAAATAAAATGTTGAGCATAGCAGTATCCTTGGTCTCTATGTTTTATTCTAACATTATGGTCACTTTAGGGAACTGACTTGGAACTGCTTAAGAGGAAAATGTGAGGGGGTTTTATTTTCCATTTTGGTCACTGTGGGGTATACAAATAATTTATTTTGACTATTACAGAGTAAATCGAGGTTATTAAAACTGCTGTGTGCTGCTTTACAGACCATTAAGAATGTAGATATAAAATTTTGAATGTCACAGTCTAAGAAATTCAAAACATTATATGGACACCTTTACTAAGTGTTTAGGGAAGTGTATTTTGATACAAAGAAAAAGTAGGACTCAGACTGTCACAAAAGTTACCCTCAGAGAGACAGATCCTTTGAGAAATTAGACCTCCCTAATGGAATAATCTTAAAATAGAATCCAAAAGCAGTCATCACCAGATGAGCTTATAGAAAGCAGGAGGACATGACTGAGTTTTGAATCCCAGTCTCCTGGGCCTTGGTTTCAACCCAGGTCTCTGTGTTTTGAAAGAACTGGTGGTGGTTACCAAGCCCTACAGTCATCTCCAGCCTGTACTGGAGTACTTGGCTTTAAAGGTCTCCCTACATGAGGCAAAGAAGTGAATGAACTTCAGTTTAATATCTAAACAGAGAGGGAGTGTTGGCTTTGGTTCATTTTAGTCACACAGGACACATTCCAAAGCCTGTGATGTCCTTGGAAAATCTCACTTCAGTAGTTACCAAATCTGCTCTATAATCTCAAAGCTCATAGGAGCAGTGCTGAGTGTGAAGAGTAAATTTCTGCCCTCTGTTTTTAAGCTTTAATAAGCCAGTAATGATCAGTGCATCCAGAATCATGGGGTCAGGATGAGGCTGAAAGCAAACAGCCATAGCCTTTTGCAAACTCTCTGTGATTACCACCAAAGCTGTGCCTTTGCTGCCTTTCCCACTGGGCCATCTGCAGCGCCCTGTCACATGCTCTACCACAGAGCAGGATGTGGCAGGTTGCCTTTGTGCAGCATCTGCATGAAACGCAAAAATCCATCCCTGGTTCTCACCTCACCCTCCATTTGGTGCTTCCCCTCTCATTTTCTGGGAGCTCAGTGGTTGGGTTGGTCAGGGAAGATTCTCCCAGTTTGGCCACGATTGCCAGCACAGCCCCCAGCACCGGGAGAACTGCAGGAGTTTGTCCCCTGCAGCACTGGGGTCCCTTGATGTGAGCCAGGGCTTTGTTCCACTGCAGAAAGAGCCAGAACAGAGCACACACTCTAACAGCTATGTGGAACAAAGCACCTTTCTCCCAGGTAACTTGTGACAGGCAAACATCCCGGTGTTCTCCTGCCAGAGAGCAGCTCAGAGCACGAACGGCAGCGCTGCTCCATCTGCTCCCTGCTGGCTGATGGTGCCCAGCTGGCTCTGCCCAAGCTCTGCTCCTGTGTTTGCCTGGCATGGCTCTGCCAGCTCCCACCAGCATTCTGCAGGAGCTGCAAGGCACTGGGGGAACAGTGAGGAAGAGTGAGAGGATGAGTGTGGAGGAAAAAGTTAATTGTGTGCTCTGCCCAAGAGTAACAAGGGAGGAGGATTTGAAGCATGTTTTCTGTTGATTCATGTGTGTGCTTGGAGGGGGTCCCAGCCTTTCTCTGAAGGGCTTCCACAGTCCCTGCCATACTCAATCATCATGGTTGCTCTCTGGTTGCACTTCAGGAAAATTATTTTTTTTACCTTCTGAAGAGTGTGGGTCACATCCACTTCCATCCCCCACAGAGAGTGACGCAGAAACTCCATGTGGACACAACACACGTGGATTAACCCTTCACACAGGGAAACCTTTCTTCTCACTTATGGGAACTGCAGGCATTTTGGGCAGGATGAGGAAAAAAAGGGAAGGAACAAGCATTGACAGCTCTCATAATGATTGTCCTGTCTCCTAAAAACTCCTACACCTGCCATCATGTAAGATCACCTTTCATTTAGGAAGGAACAGCCTGTACAGTTGGTAAAAGCTTTAAAACTGTCTCAAATGAAACACAGTCTAAAAAATCAAAGGAAGACTCCTTCAGCTTCTGAAGCCTCATGATGATTAATGCTTGATACCAGAAAACTCAGGGATTAAATGGGATTCAATTAAGAGATGCCACTGGCACTTGTTAGTTTAGGACCAGCAGCTCCCAGGTACTGAAAAGGGGATAGGGTCTGTGACTGAGGGAGGGCTGCAGGGATGGGGACTTGTTTCTTTTCCTTCAGAGATTAAGAGGGCTTTGATCTGTCTGGAAGAGTTTTTTTTCCTTGCACAGTGACCAGGCTGAGATGTTACAATTAGCCCAAAAGAAGTGGGAGAAGTTCTGAAGGAAATCCTGTTTTACTGTGAGTGCTGAGAGGCTGGCGAGTGGAAGTTGAGTATTTCTCTGGGGCAGGTTTGCTCTTAGATCCACAGGAGTGAAGCACCTCGGCCTCCCATGCCCACAGCTCCTGCAGTCTTCCCTCCTGCCCAGCCCAGGTGCTCTGCCAGTCCTGCTCCATCAGCCTCCAG